GAAGTTGACATTTAAGTTTATAAATCCAATAAAAATCACATTAGCCTTGCGGCGGAAGCTCGCGTGCAAAAACAATGAAGAACAAGAGCTGACACTGAACTGAGAAACCGACTCAGGGAGGAGTTGGCGGCAGGCGGCAGGCAGGCAGGGGAAGGTGGCACACGACAAGGGGCGCCAAATCCGCGCGACACATTTAGCTAAGCCACTTGAAGCCAACACCACCAACCAGCACTCCCCGCAGAGAACAGAAAAATGCTAATGATAACGCCATCCGCTTTTGGCCTAAGTTGAAAAAGTTGTCTACCCAGTGAGTGCTTTTAATAATTCAAAAGTGGGTCTACTGTAAATGGCTAATGGATCGCCACTCGCTTACCATATTGACTCCGTCCGTCGTTTAAGCGGCTACTGAATAAGCCTTGGTTTCGAAATTGGCCACAAACCGGAAATGACAGCACCCAAAGGCAAAGACTTAAAATCAAATCTTCAAAGTGTTGCTTACTCCTAAAATTTTTACAGTTTGTGTTTCTAAAGGTGCTGTTTTAAAGTTAATGCGATAATCAAATTTGTGGTAACAACAAGAATAGTTTAACAAGAATAGTGTTCCTAATAAGTGCATATTTCACCCATGAGAAATTCTGTGCCTTAGTTCTTAAATATACTATCTAGAAATATAATTAAATTATGTACAACACAACCAAAAAAAAGCAAATAAGAAAGCTGTAGTCGAGTGAGTTCGACTACGATATACCCTGAACCCAGCTGTTATATATAAAATTATAGTTTCATTGGCAAAGTTCCCCTTAAAGAGCATTGCACCCAAATGTGAGCAGTTTTATAGCAGACATATTTATATATACAAAAAATGCTTGTGCCTGCAGATCGAAATGAGACCAATACGAGAATATATATTTGACTATATATTGGGAGTTTCTTTTCCGATCTTGATGAAATTTATCCAAATGATCAATATATGTATTATTTAGAATGCCTGTAAAATTCGGTCTTTTATGGCTATCAGAAACAGAGGCAGTTATCGATAAAATGAAGTAAACTTGAACTGAACTTATATGCCAGATTTGAAGCTTTTATAATCCCTGAGATCCGCGTATTCAAAAAAAAAAGTACGGAAGGAAGGACGGACATGGCTATATCGATCCTGATCAATAATATATATACTTTATGGGGTCGGAGATGCTTCCTTCTCCCTGTTACATACATTTGCACAAAACCATTGTATCCTTTTTACCCATTTTCATAAATATAAATAACAATTATAATTATTATTGTATTGATTTGATATTATTCAGCACATAGCTAATAATATTAATTAAAATGGAAATACCTTTGTTTATTAGCTTAATTTAAATGCGATTGCTTAAGTATTGAACTTTGGTAATTTAAATTGTTGAATATGTTAGGTATATTTATAGGAAATTTCATATGTACCACATGTTAAATATTAAAATTGTTGCTCTAATAAATAGGATGTAATTCAAATGTGTAGTATTAAAATTTCATTACAGATTCACTTAAAAAGCTGACGAGGCAAACTCTCATTTGGTATTTGAGGCAGTTTCCAAATTATAAACTAAATTAACATTCCGTTCAAATTCATTTAGGTACAAAACACTAAGAGCGGAGGGTAGCGATGGAGTAATGCAAGTGTCTGAGAATTTGAAATACCTCAAGCGGCTTTCAAGTGCGTGACATTAACCGTTGAATGCCATATTGAAAATTGTATGAATGAATGAAAAACAGAGACAGCTGGCGGGTGCAGGTGACGGGGGGAAGCGTAGAGAGGCTCTTAATGTAGATTCGTTGCTGCAACTCATCATCAACGTCAGTTGCAAAACTTCGCGCTGAAATACTTTATTTTTTTTTTTGCGTCAGCAGCATCAGCGACAGTATAAGCAACAACAATCGGGTCGAAGAGCTTCAGTTACTTTTAGCGCCATGGACCATCCTGTAACAACGTCTCCAGCTTGTCCTGTTTCGTCCTGCCGCGTCCTGCATAAGTGCACGAGTGCTTGCCGCAAATAAATTTGATTTGCATGTGCAAATGAACGTGGAATTGAATTTTCTTATGCATGAAATGTGCGCATAATTGGTCCTTGCTATACACACACTCTCCCTCTCTCTCTCTCCCTCTGGCACACACACACACACGCCAGGCATTCTAACAGGGAGTAGACATACACAAGAGTCACTGCCAGGCATCAGGCTTTAGAGCCTTTTACCACTAGACAAGTGCCCAAGTTGTGGCTTGGGTCGTAATTGCTTATGTATAAATTTCAATTCACACATAATTTTTAGTATACTTGAATTGCAAATAGGTGGCATATGGCTAAATGTCCCAGAACTGAAATCAAAAATCATATTAAATTTACAAATTCACTCGATTTGCAACGAGATATTGCCAGGCTCACGGTTTTATTTTTATTTTTTTATATATCTTCCATTCTATTTTGAATCACGTCGGTATTCAGTTGACCTCGAGCATATCAAAAAAGAGGTCACCAAACAAATCATAATCATTATTATTATGTAATTATAGTTAGTCCTTTACTTGTTAGATTCAATGGACAATTTAAAGTTAATTCGAACGTGACTTTCGCTAGGCTCTCAAGCTAAAACTAATATTTATAAATGTATTCCACCTATTATGTATAATGTTAAAAACCACTGAACTACTTAAAGATTCTTCTGATTCTGTCTGTCTAAAAACTATGAAATGGATTTCATTCAAGCAGAATATGAAAATCACTTTGATTACATAATAGCCAACTGGCACTGTTCACATTGACTCAAGTGTCGGATTGTCATGTGTTTGACAGTTGTCATTGCCCACTTTATAGGGGGCCAAGTAGCAGTCACTATATTATGCCCATCGCACTGCTGATGCTGCTGCTGTTGCTGCTGCTGCTGCTGTTTCTGTTACACTCGACGGACTTGTGGAATACAATGCCCACTGTGGGCAGGGCAGCAACTGCACTCGAGAACTTGAATAATTAAAAATACAATATTGTAGTGCAAACAGTTGGCAAAAACTGGAGCGTTCTGCTGGCAGCTGAATTAATGGCAGCCTTTCTGGCTGCACTTAGCCAAAGATATCCACTTACAGGGCTCAGCATCCGAAGCCAGCCCAATGACAGTGGCAATCCTGACAAGCTGTGCAAACAATCGAAGCAACGGCAGGACAAAAATGCAGCCCGAATCGTGATTCGTTGACTTCTTCTTCTTCTGCATAGGCAAAGACAAAACAGGACATACAGGATGTAGTGCAGCTGCTCCCACGACTCGCTTATGGGTCAACGCCAGAAATAAGATGTGACTCTTTGTGTGGGTGAAAAGGCGTCCAGTTTCTAGTGATGACAGCGTGAAAACGTAATTCGAACTATGCCTAAAATAGGGTGGCGAGAATAATAAATGAAAATAGATACATATAAAAATATTATTTGTTATTATTTGCATCGCACGATTTCTTCCAAATAGTTCTCATTTGGTATATGGGCCTAAGCAACTATCCATAAGTGCATTATTTAGAAAGTACAAATTGGGTCAGCTTACTTTCTCTTTTCCTAATTTAGGAGTAGATTTTTGAGTAGTAATATTGGAAGGGATTGCACTGACTTTGCGTATGTTAATAGTTGAATATTTTTGTCTCTTCTTTTGTTAATCTTAATCTTGATTTGATTGGGTTTTCCACCTTGGACCAATTGTAATTAGAGCAACCCAAGAAATTTGAAATGAAAATTAGTATTAATTTTAATTTCTAATTAATTTATTTCAAATTTTAGAATTTTAATTTTCTGTTAAATGAACAGCTATGGTCTAATTGTAATAGTGGGAATTTCTGTTTTATTTCTTATCTACCATCTCTAACTGAAGGACCTTTTCGCTTTCGACATCGTCATTGTCAACGCTTTTCAAGCTTTGTTTTGCACTCTTTGGCGCTGTTAATGGTTACGGTTACCGTTACTGTGTTGCTCTTGCTCTTGCTGTTGCTGATGTAGTTGTTGTTATCATTGTTGTTACTGTTGCTGTTGTTGTTGTTGTTGTCGCTGTTACTGTTTTATTTATTGTTTGCGCTCATTTGAGTCAATTACGACAAACGGAGATTGTTAATTGCTTTGCTGCTGATGCTGCTGCTGCTGCTGCTGCTGCTACTGCTCCGGCAGCGGCCGCCGCTCAAGTCCAAGACAAACAAGTCACATCCTGTCAGTGGGCGTTTGATGGGTGGGAGCGTTTGGGGAGCACTCCATTTTGTTTTCTAGTATTTATTCGTTTGCCTCTTTTGGCTTTGTTTTCCGACTGCTGCTGCTTGTGCCGCTGCTGCTGCTGCTGATGCTGCTGCTGCGACTCGACTGCCGCTTATTGTTTGGCTTTTGGTCTCTGTTGGCCTTTGTTTGTTTGCTTTTGGCCAATAAACGGTGTCTCCCCTATGGCTCGCATACACTCCCATCCCCCTCCCCCTCCACCAGCCCCTCTCACGAACTGTAGCGCGTTTAATGGCGCGTTGAACGTTACATTTGCTCATCGTCTGCCCCTTTGCTCGTCTCCTTTTCACAGTTTTTTTTGTTGTTTTTTTCTTTGGTCGACTTGTTTTTGTGTCTCTTGCGTAAACTTTAATTGGCTGTCAGTTCATTGAGGTAAGTTTTAATTAATTTTTTGACCATGTTTGATGTGTCTTGTCTCGAGACCTGTGTGTGTGTGTGTGTATGTGTGTGGGGCAGCATATTAAATGTATGGTTTTTATTTTGGTTGTAGGCAGCTAAGTGGTGCGTTAAGCTTACCACTCAAATGCTCTGCTAATTGTTTTGGCAACATTTTATGCTGCTGAGTGCTACTTAAGGACAAGTCAATCTTTTGAAAGAGGATATTTCTCATTTTATTCGTATAAAGTCTAATTTGGATTTTATGTCATTTTGTTGCAAAGACATAAAAATATTTGTAACTTTCTGAAGGACTTCTGTTTTGTGGCACATTAAAAAGTCTTTGTCAACGATTTTTAAGGTTCATTTTTTTTTTTGTAATCAATGAGCAAAGTCGTAAGATTTATTAAGTACATTTATTTTGCGTATGGAGTTGTTAATCACAGATTCTAACAGTCCAAACGAGGAATTCTACGATCGCCTTTAATGATTTTAAAGAATAAATGTTAAATAAACTTTTCATTTATTGCAACACTTACCGATTTGCCACATCTGCATAGCCTTCTTAGCAATTTTACTGATTGGAGTCGGTTTCTGTTCGTTCCTTTCATTGCGCAACTTCTTCTCTGGCAATTCTACTTCGGGTGGCTTTAATACTTTAAAGGATTTGCGGCTTCGATAGCTCGATTGAGTCTTATTCTCATCAGGTATCTCCAACTTTTGGGATGGAATCTTCATGTGCCAACGGTTAAAACAACCACTTACTTGAGGCTTATAGTCAACTATATTGCTTTTGGTTTCGAGACCATAACATCTATTGATTTTCACAACGGGTGGATTTTGAATGGAACTCACCCAATCCCGGGCCATGATATCATTCAGTTTTCTTGACAACATAGGCAGCTGCTGCAAAGCACCTTTAATTAGTGACGCCTGCTCTTGACGCTTCAGCAGATAGTGCTCCTTAAGCATATCATTGCTTTTGCGCACCTGATCGGCAGCTTGTTGAATTTCGTATCGCTTTTCTGCATTGATATTATTTTTCTTTACGATCTCGTCCCTTATTAAACTGGTCGCCGAGCTTTTGTTCATGATCCTTGAAAAGTCTGGCACCGTCTTTTGAGTTTGTTTTCTTAGCTGCTTGTAATAATGGATATATCTGTGCGGAACATAGCCTAGCAGAATCCAATAAATTTCAGTATGTTCTGTAGTCAGTTATGGTACTTACTCCTTGATAATATTCTGGCTAAGGCAATCGGATTCATACTGGTAATTTTATTTACATTTTTAGCGGCCATATCGAGAAAATGGTTAATAGTAAGAAACTACTTTTGTTGGCTTACAATTTTTGGCTACTTTTTATAAATTTTATTTCAATATAAAATTAGATGATTAGTTAAGCAGAAAGCTGTCACAAAACGATTATTTTGGGGGCCTACTGAGCATAGCACATATTACGAAAAATCTAATCCAAAATACAACAAACTGCAATTAAAGTTCTCGTTTAATAAACCAATTGATACAATACAAATTAATTAAACTTAACCTGTGAAGTGCATTCATTCTATTTTTTTTTCCTTAACACTAAAATGTGTTAATGTGTTTTCTTAAAATGGTGTTTCAGTATTTTTCTTTATTTTCGCTCTCAGTGCTTGTCTTTGCCTCTTTCTCTCTTCTTTTCTAGCTACTTTGACTTTTAACTATCAGATTGGGTAGTTTTTGAGTTTGTCCAAACGTTGCAAAAAGAAAAAAAAATCAATGGACCAACTCACATTAAATTCCCCAATACTTATTATTATATATTTTTTATAAGCCACTTTAATTTTAAATTTAAAAATTGTGGATTATTTTCAGAGTATAATAAATAAATGAAAGTAAAACAATATTCAGGATAAATAAAATTAAGTCAATAATTGGAAAATGTAAGTAGATTTAGTGCTCGCACTTAAAATATTAAGCGTTTGCTGCAAACAGATCCCAACTAATGTCAACTAATGCCGAACGATGCGCCTCATTAGCGAAATATCCAAGCTAATGTGTATTAAGTAGCTTCCAATTGACCCAACAGAAAAGTGCATTAGGTATTTTGTAATATTAAATGTTTGGCAAAAAGGTCAGCACACCTTTTGATAGAAAACTTTAGCATTACTTGAATAGTCATCATCATCATCATCATGATGATGATCATCGCCATTGCCATCATCATCATCATCATCATCATCATCACCATCAGGCATGTCCGAAACGTGCTCCTGTTCCTCCTGTTCCTAACGGGTGCCTCGTTTACAAAAATTGCTCACGCACGGGTTCATTTTGTGGGTGTGGGTGTGTGTGTGGGGAGGGGAGTGTGGGGCCAGTAGAGTTGGATTTTAAGTGCTGACAGGTCTGTGGTTTGCTTTGCTCTTGATTTTGTTTACCATTTACCGTTCAACATTTTCTGCTTTGTATCGTCGCCTCGTCGCCTAAGCGCATTAAAAGTTTGTATTTTTTTTTTGTTTTTATTTTTTTTCTTTCGGCAATTTTCTTTATTTCGTGCACTTTATTGAAAGCACATCACGTAGTGCACCTGATTTGCTGACAATCCCTGGACATTCTAAATAGACACCAGGCACTGGCTTAAGACCGGTCTCAAAGCTTCCTACCAATCTACCTGTGCTGCATACGAAATTCAGGCGACACTTTGCAGCATCGTTATAATTAAGATTAATTGCTTACAGTTGTTGTTAATAATTTCACTCGCTTTGATACATTTTTAAAACGTCGCCTCAACTGGAGTCTCTTAAGGACCCTAAAAGGAGAAAACATTGTTTAAGAGTTGGAGCTAATGGGACCCGTTCTTTATGTAGCTGTTTTATAGCTGTGCGCTTATGCTTAAGCTTAAAATTCACGAGCTGAATTCCAAGTGATTTCAATGAAGAATACTAAGTATCAAGAATCAAGGGAAAATTAATGCGAGAAAAATCAATAGCTATCGATATATGACATAACTTGATCATTTATGAGAAAGTCGAAATTTAAGCTTGTTTTTTAAAAAGTATAAATATCAAAGTTGATATTTATTTATGTAACAGATCGAAACACATCATATATATATTATATATTTGTCTGCAAATTGTTAAGGTTCATTCTTTCTTCGTAGGCTTAAGACTATAAAAAGAAGCATAGATTATAACTTCAGTATTAAATATTAGTAAGTATGTTTACAATATTTTTTATAAATTTCGTAGTTATTTTGCTTTCTTGTTGTCCTGGTCACAGTACAATTTTTGCTCCAAAAGCTTTCGTGTTTGACATCCAGTTGGCAAAAGCAGCAAAAGCAATTTAGCCTTGATAGTTTAGGTCTTCTTTGAGCTACAACTTCATATAAGCGTGTGTGAGTGTGTGGGGTGTGTGTGAACTTAAGTTTTTTTTTTTTTTTTTTTTTATATACATCCCCAGAGCGCCAGAGCGTCTAATCAGCTGTGGAGTTTGAAGCTATGCCGTCTAAAGGTGGCCTTGGGCACTTATGACAGGAATCTCTTCAGCTTTATTTCAAAATTTTAATTTAACATTTATTAACTTAATTCTCATAGTGAACACGTCAAATTATCATCATTAAAATAACAACTGGATATCAACTAAATTAAAAACCATGCAAATCTGCGTAACATAATATGTTATGGATTACTAAAATTGAAATAATCTGCAAAATGCTTACCCAACTATTCCAGTAGTATACCAGTTGTAGTCACGTGATGGGTGCTGTGTGCTTTGTAATCCATGTTTTGTAGTCCATTCTACCCTAATTCCAACCTATATTCAATATTTAAAAATAATCTTCTGAGTATCCGAATGATTTTTAATATGTTTTAAAGCATATTATTCTCGCTTAGCAAAGAAGGAAATGATATTCAAATCTGAAAATATTTTTGTAACCCAAATTTTTGAATTCAATATTACATAAAAACTTACGACTAAATCATATTTTTGAAATTTTGATTTACTAAGAAATTTAGTTAGATTTCGTAAAAATGTTTAGGTTTTCAATTTTAAAAAATTAATGTTTGTGTCGGCATGTTTGTGAGGAATAAGATTTTTTCAAAGTAAATTCTAAGCTATGCGAAATATTTAGAATCTAAAAGTCAAAGCTAACTGCGATTTCTGAAATAAATTTATAATTTTATATTGTGTCACATAGTGCAAATTGCCAAAAATGTTTATTTTAAGTTTAGCTTTATCCGGAGATGGCGTGAAACTAATAATCTTAGGCTTATTGGCTGTAATATTTGTGTTATAAATGTTCATTTAGTTTCATCAACATCAAAATCCAGTGGATTCCGCATTTTTCATGTAGTACATGTTATATAAAACAGCCATATGTAAAATCTCGTTTTAAATAGATACTAGATGATTTTTAATGAGTTTATGGAACATATTTTAGGTATAGTGAAAAGCATCTAGAAAGCTATTTTCTATTAACATCATTTTGAAAGCTACTAGTGACAAGTAGCTAAAAGCACTTCTCCTAGAGTTCGTCTGCAACTGAGATCCCATACTTGTCTGAATTGGCAAGAGAGGCCACTAACACATTCGTCCACTCCAGAATCCCGGACCACTGGGGCCGCACCACGTATTGAAGGGTCCCTGGTATGGTCCAAAGCAGCAATCATAAAACCCACTTGGTGCGCAACCACCGCAAGGTCCAATGCAGGCACCAGGATAGCACGTGTATCCAAACATGTTGATTTGGTATGGGCTATAAAAATAAAATCACATTACACAATATACATTTTGATTTATCGAATAAATTGACCCACATTGCTCAAGCTACACGAAAAAAGGAGAAAATACTGCCGAAATTTCTAAAAATATATATATAGAATTGAGTTCCGAAAGGTTCCAGTGTCGGAGTTGAACTAATTGAAATTTTATTTATAAGCAGTCAGCATAGGACTTTAATTCGAGAGAAAGCTCAAAGCCTGCTGTGTAATAGCCAAGAATAGTTATCCTGGGCTATATCTATTTTGTTAGTAACACGTATTTGCTATTCTATGTGCGTATCAATAAGATATTGGGTTATCATGAAAGTTTGCAACACGATGATTTTGGTTCTATATTTTTATTTAAAATAGCATGATTTGAAATTCATTTCAGATGACTGTGTATATGTAGTACCTAAATTTCGTTCTAAAGAAGTGGTTAGCAGCAACCACCACATGGTCCGCATGGTCCACAACATTGAAGCCCATTACGCTTTCCGCAGCACGGAGGACCACATGGGCCGCAGCTCCGACCGCAAGGACCACAGGAACCACCGCATGGGCCACAACATGGGGAGCAGCAAGAACCACAGCACGCGTAGCATGGATTACACATCTTGAAATGAAATTGCTGTTTCGACAGGATTATAGAAATATGTATAATATAGAAATGGGTGGCAGGGCTACAAACCTTTGGCAAGTTCTTCACGGAAATAGGTACTACAAGATACAATAATTTGCTATCGATGAACCACAGTGCTTAACTACAGAAAAGACTGTTACCTGCTAAAATGAAAAAAAACGCCAAATATAAAAGTATTTCTCATTTGTATAAAGTATTTCTCATTTATATACTTACAAGCCGGCAAACAATCTTATATTTTTATTGTAGTTTTCTGTTGAAGGTACGAAAGATGAATGACAAAAAGATGTATTGATTCCCACAAACCAAATGTAGGTTTTGACATCAATTGTCAAAGCCTGCTCGGTATTTTGCAGTAGGAATACTATTTTTTCAAATCAAAACTGCTTGAATCACAACATTTTCGTATACAAGTGCAGAGGATATTATCATTTTGTCCTGCAATAAGTAACGCATTTAAAGAGACTCTTTGGACCCCAATAGATTCATCGTTATCCTATTTCATCAATATTAAAATCAGTTTCCATCCTATTTATCATGGAGATTGACCAATGAGATCAGAAACAAGTCTATAAGCCAGATTTATATAAGCCACAATAAGATTAAAAAGATAATTACATTTTATGGTTTATTTTGTTCAAACATAAATTCTATATTGCAACAATAGCTGTTAAGATAACGGATCGCTGCCTGGTACATAAGAAATTAATATGCTAGTCCCCCCTTGGAAGTTTCCCTATATTTCTTCTGTAGGCCAGTCTCAGGTTCGTCATGCTTGCTTATATAAGAGACAGTGGTGATTACGGTGTCAGCAACATCCACCCCAGCATCCATAACAGGAGCCACCCAAGCCGTGGCATGGACCGGCAAGTGATCCAAAGCTAGGATCAAAGAAGCCACTTGGGGGGCAGCCACCACATGATCCAATGCAGGCAGCGGGATAGCAAGGCCATTGACACATTTTGATTATGCAAGGAGCTGCAAGGGAATAGCGATTATCACTACAATTTTCAAAAAAATATTTGTTGTCTCTTACAGGAAACGGTCTACACGAAAATAGGAAAAACTCCAAAGGTTTTAAGTCTCTATGAATTTGGAGAACAGAGTTGCGAAAGCTTTGAATGCCGGTGTTAGACTAAAAATAATTTATTTCGTGAAGCACATATTAGCTCCACATTGACAGTTCAGTCAGAGTCTGCTGGGGTTAACGACTTGAAAATTTAATAATATTGTATTCTGTGCGAATTTAGTTAAATGATTAATTTTCTTTAATTAAATTTTTTGACTGGATTTTATGCCAGCACAACGTAAATCTGTGCCGAAAGTGCCATTTGCGGTGATAATTAAGTTAAGAGCCACATGAATTAAAAACGCTAGGTCTATGTGAGAACGCCATGAGTGCCAGCGTAGAAGACAAAAGCGGAAATTAATATCTCACACGCTGTGTACAGCTGAATAAATTAAATGCTATTAGTTGCTACTTTGCCTCTATATATGCTTGCGGTTCTGTGCGCGCTGCGCATACGCCTCGTGTGACAGCAACAAGCAACAGTAAAAGCGAGCAAAGGAATAGCGACTTGTCAATGCTGTCAGCGCATCGTCTCAATCTCTGTCTCCCTCTAAAATTAAGTGCGAAAATGTGCAAATTAGATTTTGTGGTTGACACAAAGACTCCCAAAGACACACACACCAACACACACACAGCCGACAACAACTCACCTTTAATTACAGGCAGTAGACGCTGCGTATACGCAACTTTGCGTCTAGTGAACAATAACAACTTTTTGACACCACGCATATGAATTAATTAACAATTGCAGCCCAGCCTGACGTCCCTGATACTTACAAGCAGCCCTCAGACAACTAATATACACATACGAGCATTAAATTGATATGAATTACAAGAGCAATTGGGTTTATCGAATATTAAATACCCTTGCAGCAACTACACTAACTTAACAACTACAAAAGGATATTTTTACTTCGGCTTAAATACTTAAATATGCTGATGTAAATACTCTTACACACATATAAATTACAATAGGTTAACATTAACTAAACAAATTTCTGCTAATGCTTTAATTATAAATTATATTTGAAATACTTTGAATTATTCTTAAATTTTATTTTATTATATTTGAAATACTTTAAATTATTCTTATATTTTGATAGCTATTAAAATAACATTTGAATTGTATTACATACTGTTTGTAGCTTTATAATATTGGACTGTGTGTTATTTTGTAAGGGTTTCTTGATTACATATCATATTATATTTAAATACATAAAATTAAAGTGATTTTCATAATGCATCTTTAAACTAAAATCTGGTATTAAGTAAATTCCTTCATTCTATACTATAACTCAAATCTAGAGTAATTTTGGATAAGGCATAGTTTAAATATTATTAAAAAAAAAAAAAACAATAAATACATTAAACATTATTTTGTTATGATTCGAATCGAATATATAATTAATTGAAGTTGGTGGGTTACATATTGCTTATAATCCTTAAAATACTCTTAGAATGCTAACACAATGTGTGAAAAGGTATATAATTTTCGCGTGTTTAGTGAAGGTTGTCGGTTAAAAGCTCTTAATACAAGTATTGAGCGAAACTGGAAATTAAATTCGACGTGATTGATGAAAAGAAATTTGACTAACTAGTTTCTAGTTAAATTAGTTCGTTGTTTGGGAATATAAACGGAATTAAATAGCATTAAGAATATAGCAACTAGTGCCCGTACTCGCTGCTATAAAGGACAGCTCTTGCATACAATTATAAAGCCATTAATGTCAAACGGAATGACGCAGGACACATTGTTCAAGCACATACCCACACAAACACACATACATACATACACGCACATACACTGACACTCTACTTGGCCGAGCACTGTAATTGATTACACTTGGGACCAGCTTCATTTTGACATGGCCCAAACACCCAAAAGTCAGCCCCAAAGTGCCTGCATTTAAAAATTGTTTTCCTGTTTATTGTCTGGGATGAGAATAGTATTTTGGGGTAGTGGAAAATAATTTGTGTGTGATGTGCTGCAACTGTCAATTTAAAATGCCACGACCAATAATAAACAAGGCCAGAAACACACACACACACACATAAATTTACACACATGATGTATTGACCACTTACTATGGACAATACAGAAATGTTAATTGGTGAATGAAATCAATTGAATGAATTGCCTTTCGCTATTTTAAGGGTTTTATGAATTGATTTTACTGTGCCAACACTTGAAACACTATTTGTTGCTTGCTGCCAACACTAACAACAATGTTTAATCAAGAGTCTGGCTGAAGAGGATTTTGTCGTGAAGAGTGAATTTCAATGAATGCATTGGCTAAATGCATAATTGATATTTAATTATAAAAATGATTATATTTTTGTAGGTTTAATAATGCATTTTTTTTAGACCATTTGCCTTAACTATTCAAATTGAGCTGTAATCTCAAACAAATGAGACTGCTGATGTGAAAAAACTTTCTGTTAACGTATCCTTTATGGGACACATTTCACTCATAATTTCAGCTGCTGCATAAATAATGCAACGATTGGCTGAATGTGAATTTGTCTGGCTGCGAAGTGGGTTTTTATCCCTGCGGGTAGTTGGCTTTATGGCCACAATTTCGCTACGTAATCGGCGGCGACGCGCAGCCAAGTTAATGCCAAACAATTTGTCAACAATACGTATTATCAGATTTTTGATTGAAATTCTCACTTTTTTTTTTTTGGTTTTTGTTTCTTTGCTTTTGTATTACTTGTAGTTGGGCGCTGAGTGAAGATTGATTTGCTAGAACAACAGCAACAACACAAGTGCAAACAAAGAATGTTGAGCACAGTGTGCAGTTGAAGATGAAAATGATTGATTCGCCATAAAGCCAGGAGCCAGAGATAGAGGATGCAGGGAGCAGTGGGGATATAGGGGAGGCATTCACTCAGAGAGTTTCTATTTGAGTTGGCCAAGTTCTTGTTCTAAAGTGGAACGTTTGTGTTTTTGCTAGACGGGCTAATCATCAATCAATCATATGCCCTGCAATTGCTGTGCCATGCATAAAACAAAAGGCAAATGCTTCAAGTTTGCGCACCGGAAAGTAGGCAACGATTTTGTTTGAGCTTCAAAGTACGCTAAGCTTTTAGCTGAATGTCTGAGGGTTTTGTGCTTGCTTTGAAACTATGTAAAATAGATAATTATTTTTATACCCTTGCAGAGGGCATTGTATTTTATGGTGAAGCTCGCACGAGATGTGTACGACCCCATTAAGTATATAAGTAATCTTGATCAGCCGATTCGATATTGTCATTTCTTTCTGTCCAAATAGAAAATATAACCGAAAATTTTTCAGAATATATGGAAAATAGGAAAACAAAACTACTTAAAATTTAAAAGGATATTTTTCAGAAAGATGATTCTTAACAATAGAAATTATTTGTAAGCAGTGGAAAATCAAATAACTGTAATTATTGTATATTTTCTGTAATTATATAAAAGTCTCGTAGATGTAATTCAGTTTCTTGGCTTCCGATAAGGTCAATTGGATTTTTATCAAAGTGATTTTGACAAGATATGCGTTCATAGATTATATAAGCCATATTTAAACTTAGGAATGTTCTTCCGAGCGGGGAAAAAAACCGAATGGCTGGCAATCTTGATAAAGCCAATCACTCCCGTTGGGGTGCTAAAATATAGTGCAGAACTGATTCAACAAATGCTGCAAATCTGCTGTACTTAATTTAAGAGAAGCTTAAAAGTAAAATACTATCTACGAAATTTAATTTTAAATAAAGAGTCTGGCAACGTATTGGATTTCATACACAATCCAAGGTTCAGTCGTCTTCGCCATCTTTCTCTGAGCTTACAAATTTAATTTCAACTGTCAATCAGCATTCATTACAAGCCATTCATTTTGCCTGCTTTAAAACCGCATTTGAAGCGTTTCGCAAGGAAAATTGCGCATACGCAGTGTATAACGCGAGCAGGTAAGCACAAGGCCAGCAATATACGAAAAAAGACACACACACACACACACACACACACAAAAACACACACTTAAAAGCTGCTGCCAAATTGATTGTAATTGACACTTATTGGACAGCAGACACTGACAGAGTTTCGCTGTGCAGATTGTGAACCTTTGTCCTCCTTATTTCGTCGTTCTTGGCCGTGAGGCAGCTTAAAATATGTCCGCGCAAATAAATCAATAAGCGGGGAAGGCTGCCATCAAGCACCATGGAGTTGGCATTTAACATTGATTGTATGGACATGAGAAAAGTAAATAAGACGAATAATGAAATACCTTTATTTATATATACACAACATTTTATGGCATAACTCCGTTAAATGTTAATTTTTCAACACACACAATTCGAATGCTGATGAAAATATGAAAATTAAATTAATTTAAATCATTTAAGACTAACTATAAGAATAAAATATGAAAACAGCTTTAATTTTAAATTAAAATCGTCAACTTTTGATGACTACATCATTTATAAAACTAATTATTCATTAGAGGCTAGTGACTTAAATAATAAGCTTAGCTTGCAGCACTGGGAAAGAAATATCTCAATAAATAATAATATTTGACATGTTCATATTTCAAATTTCATTCTGAAATAAGATCATAACTATGCCGTCAATAACTAAAACACATTGCAAGTTGCAAATAGAATAATCTGATGAAGATAAAATGTTTCTGGTTTTAAGTCTTGTCTGCATGAAAATCTCCTCATAAAGCTTTAATATTTTCATTTCAATATTGTGTTTATTATTTCAGGAAATCACAAAGTTATTTTTCAATTGCATGGATGCTTTCACACACACAGACGCACACTGACATACAAAAAGAGAGACGAATCGAGTTGGCAATTTCGAATTTTGTTTGTGGACAAAAACGTGTCTGGCATTTTTTTGTTGTTAATGAAAGTCTAATAGATGGCTGCGAGCCGAATTGATTTCGCAGCAGTTCTTTTTTTGTGGTCAGCAAATTGCTTTAAATGTATAACAAATATATGAACGAGTGTAACATGCCCTTATGCATTCGTGCACCAATCACTGCCCCACCCACGCACCACACATGCAGCACAAATAGTACAAAAACTTTTGTTGAATTAAGGG